AAAAAATAAATATACCCATAACAAAAAAAAAGAAAACTGGGGGCCTTACACATGGGCCAAGATAGTGTCTTTGGATGCCATCACCCATCACCCATGGATGCAAACTCATGTTACAAGTGGGAGGAGATGAGGTATCATGAAGATGGAGCACTATATTTCAGGAAGATTAACAGGAAAGGTGGGAAACAAAATGAGATAGGGAGCCACTGATGTGGTGGAACTCAATGTGAAAGGAAAGATTGGCATCACTGAAAGCATAAGAACCAGGAAGGGGGAAAACAGCGCTGGCACTATTGCAATACTTTATACTAAACCTCAGCTAAAGACATATTTTATTAGAGGTTGGTGGCTTTGGGAAAAGGCAAATGACAATCTTTTTTTTCTCATACACTGCTATTTATGCTCTTACTAAGCCCAAATAAGAAGTAAAATGTATTATCAGATACCATAAACAAGTAAGCACTAAACATCTGATGTGGAAGTTTCCTGGAAAATTGTTTGTTCTTTTATTCTAGAGTCCCTAGGCTATATTTTAGGGTAATCTCTAAACTCCATATGGCTTGTGAGCTCAGTTCCTAATTAGGTATGTGAAATGAAAGAGTCAATCAGTATTCATTCCAACAAAGCTTCCTTTTCTCTTTTTTTAAGCACTTATGTGTCAGACATTGGATGTGCCAGAGCTAATTAAGACATAGACCATGTCCTCAAAGAGCAGATTGATATAATAATATGGTGATAATAGCTAGCATTATTGAGACCTTTATTAATGCCTGTGCTGAGTGCTAAGCACTTTGCCTGATGATCTCATTAATTCCTCACACCAGCCCTGTGGAGGGAGAGAGGTACCATTATTATCTCCAATGTACAGATGAAGAAATAGAAGCTTCCAGAATAAGTTACCTGAGATTAAATGGAGCTGAACAAATACCAGAACCTAGGATTTAATGATTATAAAATCTATATGTCTTAGCCCTAAGGTTCATGGCAAAAAAATCAACAGAAAATTGTCTATGGGAATCTATAAGAAAAGTTACTAGCTCCTTTAAAGAATGTAATGAGGATTTCAAAGAACAAAACATAACTAAAAAGAATTTTTAAATGTGATGATTTCTAGTTCTAATCATTTTCCTGCAAATAACTTAATTTCATTCCTTTTGTGCCTGAATAATATTTTTTGGTATCACATTTTTCTTATCTATTCCTTGGTTAATAGGTACCAAGGCTGATTCCATACTTTAACTATTGTAAATAGTATTGCTTCAACTCTGATAATTTACATTTGGAAGGTCAAGGAGATTAAAAACAAGCTCTTAACTAATTTCTAGAATGATCCTTATCAGGCTTCTAGGATACTTCTTCCTACATGTGCCTACATTTTCAAAACTGTCTAAGTAAATAGACCATAGGTAGGATACACTCAATTATAAATAACCAGTCATTTAGGCCTCTGTTTGATTTAGAAAGGCAATTACTTTTGAACTCTACAAACTTTTTCACAGTTTTCTGTAGTTATAAAGGACTTTGAAATCTGTTATGCTAATTGATCAAAAGACTCGCAATCAACCAAATGCTAGTTGTCTAACACAGTTCTTCTTAGAGGTAAGATTGGTCAAACTGAATCTGATATGAAATTAAACACTATTATGAAAGCCTATATTGGTTGCAACTATTTAGTAGTCCATCAGTAATACAGAATATCGTTTTATATACTATTTATATGATATATTATATTTGGAGATATTTGTGTTTACACATATACATTGACAAACATAGCCTGACCATCAGGACACTTGGGTTCTAAAACAGTATCAGGTATGTATGAAGCTTTTGTCAATTATTTAAAATTCAGTTTACACGTAAAACGAGAATTAGATGATATTTTGTAACTCTGCTCATAACAAACTTAGAATGAAGTTGAGAACTTTAAGCATATCTAAAGGAAAGTAGATTAAGAAGCATTTAAATAACCAAAAATGAAACAACAATGCAAAAAGGCAACCTAAAACAAACAGGTTTGGTACTGTTAATCAGAAAAATCAAGAATATATCACTAAATAGAAGAAAGGCATGTTTGTCTATGTTTGAAAGGATAGACACTTTCTTAGGTAGAAATGTGGGGGTTTTCCATTACAAAATAACTAATTATCAATAATACTATATTTTTTCTTGCATTCATATAATGTTCATTTCATATGTATTCTGATTGTGACAACCTGAAGTCTTCCCAGAATACATAGATTACATGGATTCTAAAGTACATTTTAATTATGTCAAGAAAGTGGTATGGAGAGGTTACTAAAAGGATTATCAGAAATTATACATAATTGCTGTTTGAGTCACTATTGGAACCATATGTTAAGAATCATCAAGGTTTCCTACTGTGACTCTGATTATTGCCAAACATTACCAGGTTTCTAGAGGAAAGGACAATCACTGTGTATATATCACACAGTGAAACAATAAGTGTTACTGAGTAAACTAGAAAACCATTGGAGGACAAATCCAAAGTCCAGAATATTCTGTTGATGCAGAATGTGGTATGAATGAATTGTTGGGATGCTAGCAAAATCATCACTATTACCTTTCTGGGAGTGGGGGATGCCTAGACATTAGAGAAAGTGGGAAATGCAGTGGAAAGAACATGGGATATAGAATAAGGATTCTATGTTCTAGTCCCAGTTGTCACTTAGCAATTATTTGATGATGGACAAATCATTTAGCCTTAGTTTTTCTTCTGTAAAATGGGTATAAGAAGACTATTAAACACCTTACTTGAGGAGGTTGCAGTGAAAAATCAATTAAGCTATGATTTATAAATTGTAAAAGAGTGAAATAATTATTGACTTCCAGCCAGTGAGGTCCTTGGCCAAATGATAGTGATTTTTTTTTCCTGTCTCCTCCACAAGGTTTATCTTCAACAGGATTCTTGCTTTTTCCTGTCTGTGTCAGCATACTTCCTCTTGCTGTTTTCTCCCCAAATGAACACTCAGTAAATTAGTTATTTGAACTCTGTAAGGTTCTGTCATGTGTCATTTATGTGCAGCTCTCAGACTCGTCTTGCTGGACATATTTCTAATCCTGTCCTGTTACTGTCAAAACATTGTCAAGAGCTTCTCATTTTCTGTTGAATACTTAACTATGTAAACCTATGACCTTGCTACTAAAATTGGTCTCCAGACCAGTAATATTTGCATTACCTGTGAGCAGTGTAGGCCTGCTGAATTAACTTTAACTGTAACTTTGGTGTCCTGTAAACTTGGCAGTTGCAGCATTAAAATTGTCAGATTTATGAAATAAAGGACATCCAGTTAAATTGGGAAACCAAGAATAACATTTTATCACGTTTCAAATGCTTCATGCATTTCAAATTTTTCTCGAAAGTCAACTCAGGACAGCATAGTATCCACATCTAACCTAACATCACATTTTCCTTGTACTAGTAAATTCTACTTAAGTTTCCCTAGGTATTGTTTCGTTTCTCTTTTGCTCTGTTTTGTTTTCATCTACATTGTACAGCTCCAGAGATGAACACAATGGCCAGCACATCATAAAAGCAATAGCTAGGTACTGGATGGATAGATGAAACGTCAAGAGCAATCTTCCAATTTGGGATTGGGTTGTGTGTGTGCTTAAAGCTAACTATATTGCCTAATGTTTAAACATGTTTTACATTGGTACAGTTTTTCACAATGCTGCTGGCAGCGTTCAGCACTTAACAGGGACATCACCAAGGGCTCAGTATGTACACCTAAGGTCGGGATGCTTAGGGCCATCGGTGAGGAGAAAGGAGCTCTCAGGATGCTGAGGAGCCTGTCACAGGCAGTAGGAATGTCTAGTGCCCTCCTGGTCGCTGAGGCACCGCGCATGCGTGCCGTCGCGCTGGAGCTCCGGAGCGCCCAGCCGGGCGGGGGAGGCGGGGCTTCGAGGCGCGTGCGCGGCGTCCTGGGCGGCCGGC